AGACAAAAGTCCTCAGTTCTCAAATAATTACATCAAATACTTGTCAAGTGAATCGAATTCAAATTATATATGAGGTATCCCCTCAGGCACTAATAACTCAATACAAGCGCTTTCTTTGACCTCGAGCCCTGTGGGGAAAAATTATTTTTGGGGTTCACTAATTAAGTCTCAGAACTTCTACTTTCAAACCTGTTAAGGAAAACAAATTGGGGTGAGTTAACGCTCAGCGAGACCAAGGGAAAAACATGCAAGCATGCGAGCAAAGACACAATATAAAGCAATAACTCGAGTAACAAGGAACTGCGAAACATTAAGCAAGTAGGGAATTTAATCACAATAAAAGGATACGAGAGCTCTCAGGAGCTAATCCACGCGCGATCCAAGCTCAGGTAGTTGACCCTCCGTCAACTTTCACAGTTGTCCATGTAGAACTCCACTTACTACCTCCAGCCACCATGACACCCTCTTGGATCCATAACCAAACAAGCATGTAGGTGTATCACTTAACAAGTATACCTAACAAGACCCCTTATTTGGATCACGCTATAACACTTCCAAGGTTCACCAAGTTTTTCGACCAAACTCTTGCTGACTCGAGTTACAAGGCTAACCAATGGGTTGGGGCGTCCCCCCCAATTCACTTTTAGGTCGATGAGACGAAGCTCCAATCGACAAGATTTGGTCATAGCATTGAGACGGGATGAGCGGTACCTCCTACCCTAAAAGGCATGATACATTCTGCCGCTTGAAGAGGTGACTTTTGACCTGCAGAAGTGAGTCACCCGAGCTGGAAGAGTACCTGTGCCTTGGGTAGCTCACCTGAACGAGGTCACCTGCTTGGATAAGAAAAGGGGCTGGATCCCCCGATATAACTCCGAAACTTAAGTCAGTTCGGATTGTAGAGATGTGAGTAAGTAGTGATTATAGACAGAATTCTACCGGAATTTGGTCATCCCCTTTTATTGGTAGATACGTTGGGTATTTATAGGGGATGGATAGGAGAGAGGGAACGCCTGCACGGGTCCCTAAAGATCGGGAGTAATTAGTGCATCCGGTGGACTTGACCGGTCTTTATGAGAGGACGTGGGACACTCTATCAGGTTCAGGCGGCGTGTCAGAGCAGCCTTCTCCCAGGTGTCAGAGTTCACATCTCCCCTTTTCGCAGATGTCATTTAATGCTCACCTCGGTGTTACGACCCCACGACGTAGCCGAGGTGGTAAACAGTCTGCCATCGCCACGCGGAACGATGTAGCCGAGGTGACACTTCAGGAAAGGCACGAGGACTAGGCCTCGGGCGATCTGAGCCTAAATGGCCCTCCTCACAGCCCCCCAAGCTTTGGGAAGGGCGAGATGGGAATTTGCAGAGGTCGTTACTTCCCGAAGCTGAGAAACGTATGAGACACGGACTTATGGACACGTCATGACCGCATGGATGTGATTGAGTGGAAGCTGAAGGGACGGCTGCCAGCGGTGCAGGCAGATGAACAGTCTTCTCATTAATGAGGAGAGAGGGTGCCGCCCTTTGGATTTCACTCTGGTGGCCTATAAATAGGGGTCTCTTTTTACCGTTTTACTCTTCACCAGAAATCGAGAATCACCCCGGAGCTCTGTTTCTTTCTATTTTCACTTCGGCAACCTTTCTAAACCACATCCACTTCGGCAACTTCAGACAGCCGCAGATTCTGAGTAAGTTCACTTCTTCCCCCTTTGATACAATGGCTAGAACAGCTCGCACGCACAAAGAGACGGTGAGGCCTGACTATGTCGAGACAAAGAGGCCCGACCCTCCGAAGAGAGGACAGCGACCGAGGTCGGAGAAGGAGGTTCCGAGGCGTGTCACCGAGCCGAGGGCTCACACCAGGCGGAAACGTCTCATCAGGCCAGAACTCCAGAGCAACCCGAAGACGTCGAGGTCGGATCTGAGGTCTTGTACAATGACGAGCTCGGGAATGAGGTCCCGAGGGACGAGGGTGTTCAAGAGCCTTCTACTCCTCCGAACATAGCGACGCTCAACTACGGCCAGATGCCGAGCTTCAGCAGTAGCATGGGGCACACCTCCGTAGCCGAGGTGATCCGCAGGTATCCCTGGAGGAGGGACTACAGTATTTACATTCCTCTGCCGCACCAGTCAGCCGCCCTGCCACCAAATAATAGGGTGGCTATCTATGTAGATCAACTGGAGGCCGGGCTCAGAGTGCCAACCACGAGATTTCTTCGTGACTACCTCAGGTATTGGGGGGTGAGAATCACCCAACTCACCCCTAACACAATTCGCGTTCTGGTCGGCTTCCAGTTACTATGCCGGCATCAGGAGATAGAGCCACGGTCAACCTCTTCCGCCGATGTTACTCGCTTAAGAACAGCGGGAGTGAGAAGGGCTGGTTCTACTTCGGCAACAAGGTTCCAAAGCTGGTGTATGATGCTCTGAGCTCAATAAAGGAGTAGAAGAGAAACTTTTCTTCGTCCCGGCCGAGGACTTTCCTCGGGGGTTCTGGTGGAGGCCGCCCACCTCGGTGAAGGAGGTATCCCCGGACAAGTTGGAAGAACGCAACTTCCAGAAGCTAATGGGGTCGGGCCTTAGGATCAACTGCTGGGATTTTCCCGAAGTGATCCTAGTAGAAGGCGGGCTCAGTCGAGCCTTGATCAGCTCGGACCATCCCATCCTCCTTCTTCTAGACTTCACATACCTTGTACTTTTCCACTTCCCTTTTTTAGTTTATCCTTCTTGAATTCTAACTAACTCTTCTTCATGCTATGCAGTGACGAAAATCTCTGACCTGATCACCTCGGGAAACGTCGAGGTGGCAAAGAGACCACCCAAGAAGCGCAAGGACGCCGCCGAGCCTTCCACCAGGGCTGCTAAGAAGACTACCGCGGCAACGAGTGATCATGAGCCTACCGTGGTGATCGTGGGCGAGGGCTCACACACCTCGGCCACTCCCGGGGGCTACCGCGCCTCGGCCATTCCTATCGGGGTTCCCATCAGAGGGGTCACTATAGCCACTCCACCCCGGGTCAGGGCGTGACGGTGTTTCCGGATAACCCGTCACGGGGTCCTCTTTGTTCAACCTTCACCATGTGCCTTCCAAAGCAGCTAAGGAAGACAAGAGGCACCTCGGATCACATTGGTGTCCGGACTGGGAGATTAACGTCAACAACCGGTGCAAGAACCCTCTGGTCGCTCAGGAACTCCTGGTACATTCGGTGCTGCCCCGCGATAGCACTTATGCCAGGAAGCTCTCTGCAGGGGAGCTGATGCAAAGCGCCTCGGTGTCCTGGGCCTCCACCTCGGCCTTTTTTGCCGAAATGATTCAACGGTATGGGAAGCTTATGGAAAACTATGAGCCTCCTGCCGAGCTCCAGAAGAGGATTGCGGAACTGGAAGAAAAGCTAAGGGCAACCGAGTTGGAGCGCGACCAGGCCAAGGCGGCTAATAAAAGGGCCGAGATCGCGAATAATTCCCTGGTGACTGCTCTTGACGAGGAGAAAAGAGAAGGGTTCAGGAAGAACAGTCAAACAAGGAGGCCATGGACAAAGCCAAGGTCACTGCTGTGGAAGCCTTCCGGACGTCGGAGTCCTTCATCCGTGACCTTGCCGAGGTCACCCGGCCGAGCTTCATGTTCGGGTACACGTCGGCCATTAATGACCGACACCCTTTCTTTCCTCTGAAGAATTGGAGTCCCTTCAGGGCACTTCGGACTATAACGAGGATGCCAAAGAGCTATGCGACCGCATGGCTGAAGGCATCCGGACTGGGAAAGACCTAGCCGAAGTTCGAGCCGAGTTCAACAAATGGCTCCAGGAGTTTGAGCTAGATGGTACTAAAGATGATCAGGCCGGCGGAGGCTCTGAGGGCGGGCACGACCAGGCCGGCGGAGGAGCTGAGGGTGGACAAGATGTCGAAATGGGAGATGCGACCACGGGGGGTCAGGATGCCGGGGTAGGAGGTGCTTAGAGGCACTCATCTTTTGTAATAGTATGCCGGGGTCATTTATGACCTCGGCCTTTTACTTTTTATTCTTCAATGAAATCAACTTTTTGTTCTCCCACATTTTCTGCCTTCTCTTTGATCGAAAATCTAATCTTTCCTTTGCATTCCTTTGCATACTACTTGTACTACTTTGGTACTACTTGTACTACTTTGTCCCCTTATTTTTCACTTGCGATAAAATAAGAGTAAGTGAGAAATAACTTGAAGAGCTAAAATTTTTTGAACACGTACCCCTCAAGGGTAATATAACTTGAGGTTCTCAGCATGCCAAGTCCGAGGCACTCGAGAACCGTCTCGATAAGCTAACTTACAATATCCATTTTGGCTGGACTCAACAACACGATAAGGTCCCTCCCACTTGGGGGTCAGTTTGCCCTGAGGTTCAGCTCGGCTGACCGAGTTCTTCCGAAGCACGAGATCTTCCGGATTGAACCGCAAATGTTTGACCCGAGCATTGTAGTAACCAGTTAGGATATTTTTATAAATAGCAACTTTGGCCGCAGCCATATCGCGCTTTCCTCGGCGAGGTCGAGGTCAACTCGCCGTTCTTCTTCATTGACTTCGGCGGCGTACGCAGCCATTCGTGGACTTGGGGATAAACTCGGCAGGATAACAGCTTCGGACCCATAGGTTAGAGAAAACGGGGTCTCCTGAGTTGCTGACCTCGGGTGGTTTGATAGGACCACAGCACACTGGGGAGTTCTTCCATCCACGACGATCCAACCATGAGGAGCCTGGTTTTGAGGCCGTAGAGGAGAGTTCGGTTGAAATTTTCAACTTGTCCATTTGCTTGAGGGTGTCTAACCGAGGTGAAGTGCTGCTTGATTCCCAGGTTCTCGCACCATGCTTTGAAGGGGTTATCAGCGAACTGCCTGCCATTATCCGAGATGACCACCCGGGGCAGGCCGAAGCGACAGACCACGTTTTTCCAAAAGAGTTTTTGAAACGACAGTTCCAGTGATGCTTCTCAGGGCTCGGCCTCCACCCATTTGGTGAAATAGTTTACTGCTACCACCACGTAAGCATAGTTGCCTGGAGCCCTGGGAATGGACCGATTATATCAGTTCCCCATTGCTCGAATGGCCACGGCGAGATGATGGGTATCATGAGGTTGGTCGGCTGGTAGTGCTCAGGAGCGTGGTGCTGGCAGGAAGGGCAACAAAGTACCATGACCTGGGCATCTATCCTCATGGTGGGCCAGAAGTACCCGAGCAGCAAGGCTTTCTTCACAAGCATCCTGAAGCCGACGTGGGCACCACAGAGTCCCTCATGAATGTCCTGAAGGATTCTCTCGCCTTCCTCCGGGGTGATACATCGCAGTCAGGGGTCGAGGTAAGACCTCTTGTAGAGAAAGCCTTGTCGGAGGGTGTACCGAACTGCTTTTCGCTGAAGCTTCCGTGCTTCAGCTCGGTCCTCAGGGAGCTCTCCATGGCTGAGAAATCGGGTTAAGGGCCCCATCCAGATGTCCTCGGAATAGATGGGGTACACGACCTCTCCTTCATACCCCGATTCGGTTAGAACTTCTACGAGAACCGTCTTGTTTAGGTCGGCAAAAGAAGTAGACGCGAGCCGGGAGAGGGCGTCAGCCCTCCGGTTCTGTGACCGTGGTATCCTTTGGATTTTGAAGGACTCGAAGTGTGCTATTAGCTGGTGGACCTTAGAGAGATAGCGATGCATCACTTCGTCTCTGGCCTCGTATTCGCCTAATATTTGGCACACGATGAGTTGGGAGTCGCTATACACCAAAATGTGTGAAGCCCCGAGCTTGCGAGCTAACTGCAGGCCAGCTATGACAGCCTCGTATTCGGCTTCATTGTTGGAGGCAGCGAAGTCAAACCTCAGGGCGTACGAGCACACATCTCCTTGAGAGTCTTCGAGGAGCAAGCCTGCTTCACTACCCTCACTGTTAGACGACCCATCTACGTGTAGAATCCATCGCTGGAACCCAGTGAGGGCTACTTCAGCTGTCACCGGGGTGGCAGTTGGGATGGGTGCTTTCACTTCATCAAAGGTAAGTTCGGCTAGAAAGTCCGCGAGAGCTTGGGCCTTGATCGCTGTGCGAGGTTCATAAGAGAGGTCATACTCCCCCAGCTCAATGGCCCATTTGGTAAGACGTCCCGAAGCCTCAGGTCGTGTCAAGATCTGCCGGAGGGGTTGGTCAGTCCTCAAACAGATGCGGTGAGCTAGAAAATAGGGCTTGAGTCTGCGGGCTGCGTGGATCAGGGCCAGCACAAGCTTCTCCCGCTTGCGTGTACCTCGTCTCGGGACCTCGGAGGACCCGACTAACATAGTAGACGGGCATTTGAACTCTTTCCTCCCCTATCAGCACGGCGCTCACGGCTTCGGTCGCAGCAGACAGGTATAAGATCAATTTGTCCCCTGGACGTGGTGAGGTGAGCCTGGGCAAGTGGTGAAGGTAATCCTTCAGCTGCTCAAACGCCTGTTGACATTCTTCCGTCCAGGAGAAGTGGTCAGCTTTCTTCAAGACTTTGAAAAAGGGCAGTGCCTTAGCGGCTGACTGTGATAAGAACCGATTCAGGGCGGCTAATCGCCCCGTCAGCCTCTGAACATAGCGGACGCAACGAGGTGGAGACATCTCCTGGATGGCTCTCACCTTATCCGGATTCGCTTCTATACCTCGTCTTGACACGAGCTAACCTAAAAATTTTCCCGAGGTGACCCAAAGACACATTTCTTGGGGTTCAGCATCACCCGCGTCTTCCGGAGAATATTAAGAACTTCTTTCAGGTCGGCCAGAAAAGCGAAGGTCGTCTGGCTTTTGAGGAGGATGTCATCTACATAGGCCTCAACGTTCCGGCCGATCTGAGACTTGAAGGCTTGGTTGACCAAGCGTTGGTAAGTGGCTCCGGCATTCTTCAGCCCGAAGGGCATGGTAGTATAGCAGTACGTGCCGCGGTCAGTGTAGAAGGCTGTCTTCTCCTGGTCTTCTTGGCTCATGCCAATTTGGTGATAACCCTTGAAGGCATCCAGGAAACAGAGGATCTCGTATCCCATTGCCGAGTCTACCAAGGTATCGACCTTGGGCAATGGGTAACAGTCCTTGGGCAGGCCTTGTTGAGGTCGGTGAAGTGGACGCACATTCTTCAAAACCCCGTATCCTTCTTGACCATGACCGGGTTGGACACCCAGGCTGGGTACTGGACTTCCCGGATTATTTTTGCGGGCAAGAGCTTGTCAACTTCTTCGCCGACAGCTCGGCTACGCTCAGGGCCGAGGTGCCTTCTCTTTTGTTTGATCGGTCGGGCTTGGGGTCGACGTTCAGCTCATGCATCATGAGGTGGTGCGGGACTCCTTGGACCTTTTCGGCGGCCCAAGCAAAGACGTCCCGGTATTCTCTGAGGAGGACCACCATACCTCTTTGGACAGGACCGGGCAGTCGGGTACCGACGCGAACTGTCTGATCGGGTTTCGTGGGGTCTAGGGGAAGCTCTTCCACCTCATCCCCAGTCTCCAGCCTCGGGACCTTCTCAGCTCGCTGAGGGTCGATGCTATCTATTGAGAGGATGTCTGACCTCTTCTCGGACCTCGTTACGGAGGTTGATGGGATGCTGCTTGTAGAGTGGCTAGGTAGCACTCTCGAGCAGCGCAGACGTCGCTGCTGACCTCGGCAACTCCTGCGGGAGTAGGAAACTTAAAACTAAGGTGGTAGGTCGAGTACACCGCCCGCAGAGCATTAAGAGTAGGCCGACCTAAGAGCAAGTTGTATGGAGAGTCGGCCTTAACCACCACGAAGTTGACTGGAACAGTTCGGCAGCGGGGATGGTGCCCCACAGTCACCGTCTGCGTCACCATTCTCTCGGGGTGCACAACGTGTCCCCGAACCCTACAAGAGGGGTTCTTACCGGGGTCATGTGCTCCCTGGCCAACTTAAGGCTCTCAAAGGTGCGGAGGTACATGACGTCCACTGAACTTCCAGGATCTATATAGACCTTTTTCACAATGTAGTTGTTGGTGAGGACTCCAATCACCAAAGTTTCATGACTGCTGGAGGCAGTTGGGACGGGGTCACTGGGTCCGTAGGTGATCACCTCGGACAGGCGAGAACTCGACTCGGCTTGATCCGGATTGGCTTGCCTATAAGTTCTCTTCCGGGAGTTCTGACTGTCCCCTCCGTCGGACCTCCAGCAATTGTATTGATGACTCCGGCAATGTTCGGCCCATAACCCAACCCGTGTCCTGAAGATCCGTCTGGGGGAGGCCTTTTCGTCTCCCTGTGATTCTCAGGAGGTCGGCAACTGCTTCTGGAGGTCCGCCTCTCATCTCGGCGTTGGTCACCTCGTTTGTCACGCCGGTTCTCGTCACGTTGTTGGCCTCCACCTCGGCGGATGAACTGTTTCAAATGCCCCCGTCTAATGAGGTTCTCGATCTCCTTCTTGAGGTCGTTGCAGTCCTCAGTTTTGTGACCGATGTCACGATGATACAAGCAGTAGAGGTTTGAGTTCCTCTTGTCTCTGCTTCCAAACATCCTCGGTGGGGCCTTCCCAAGGTTGTTTTGTTCCATCACGGATAGCACGTGGGATCGGGTAGTGTTCAGAGGAGTTAACTCGGACTCGGGGATTGGTGTCTTCCCCTTGGATATCCTGTCGAACACGCTGCGGCGGTCTCGACCAGGACTTCGGAAGCCACTTCCCGACCCTACTTCAGTTCGGCTGGCGTCTTTTCCCTTTCTGGGATCAGTCCTTGGACGGGTGGCTTGGAACTCTTTCTTCATGCGGTGGAGGTCTTCAGCCTGTATGTCCTTTTCGACCTTCAACCACAATTCATGCAATGTGCGGGGGTACTTCTTATGAATCCCCGTATTGAACTCCCCGGCAGTGAGTCCATGGGTAAAGGCGGCGAGGGTTACCTGCTCATTGGGGTCAGGTATCTGTACGCTTTCCTCGTGGAACCTCCGGACATACGACCGAAGTGACTCTCCCGGATTCTGCTGCACAGTGAGCAGATAAGCCGAGGTCCTGGTCGTAGGTCGGGAGGAGACGAACCGGTGGAGAAACTTCTCCACTAATTCACCCAAAGTCGAGATACTCTTAGGTTCTAGAGCCAGAACCATTTTCGAGCAGTTTCTCGGAGGAATACTGGAAAGACCCGGCATATGACGGGGTCCGGAATGCAATATAGGCGGAAAGGCCGAGATGAAGACATGGATGTGATCTTCGGGATCACCGCGGCCATCATAAGATTGTACTGCGGGGAGTTTAAAATTGAGAGGAAGCCTTTCCTCATTTATATCATCTGTGAAAGGTGGAGCTCTCATGCAGTCCACCCCGGGTATTCCCAAGGGCCGAGCTTCTTCCTCGGATCGTCTCCCCAAGAGCCCTTGAGAAAATGCCTTGGTCAGGGAGGCTACCTTGGAGGTGGCCTTAGAAAGTGCTCGTTTCGAGGCACTTCGGCTTAAGCGCCTTCCATCCGACTCCTCAGATGAGTCTTCAGGAGACCCATCCGACTTCCTTTTGGAGAACTCGGCTTTTTGTTTGCCTTGCCTTTTCAGGTACCTCCCCAACTCTTCAAAGATGTTGGGGTTCTCGGTCACAAACTCGGCCATACGGGTTATGGCTTCTTCGTTTGCGGGCTGAGTCCTTGGGACCCCTGCCCTTCAGGGATATCTTCTGGCTGGGCTGCATTGCTTTGCTCAGCCCCAACGGTGAGAGCTTTTCTGCTCTTAGAACGCGTAGGCTTCATTTTTCAATACCTTTGCGTTCCCACAGACGACGCCAATTGAAGAGGTGACTTTCGACTTGCAGAAGTGAGTCACCCGAGCTGGAAGAGTACCTGTGCCTTGGGTAGCTCACCTGAACGAGGTCACCTGCTTGGATAAGAAAAGGGGCTGGATCCCCCGATATAACTCCGAAACTTAAGTCAGTTCGGATTGTAGAGATGTGAGTAAGTAGTGAGTATAGACAGAATTCTACCGGAATTTGGTCATCCCCTTTGATTGGTAGATACGTTGGGTATTTATAGGGGATGGATAGGAGAGAGGGAACGCCTGCACGGGTCCCTAAAGATCGGGAGTAATTAGTGCATCCGGTGGACTTGACCGGTCTTTATGAGAGGACGTGATGGGACACTCTGTCAGGTTCAGGCGGCGTGTCAGAGCAGCCTTCTCCCAGGTGTCAGAGTTCACATCTCCCCTTTTCGCAGATGTCATTTAATGCTCACCTCGGTGTTACGACCCCACGTCGTAGCCGAGGTGGTAAACAGTCTGCCATCGCCACGCGGAACGATGTAGCCGAGGTGACACTTCAGGAAGGGCACGAGGACTAGGCCTCGGGCGATCTGAGCCTAAATGGCCCTCCTCACCGCTCAATGCTCACAAAAAAAACACTTTCATATGCATTCACATGTAACATGTATCACTTATCAAGCAAGCAATTTCATGAAAGAGAAGACAAGGGCGATAAAGTACGCCCTACCCTCATTAACTAGCAAGTACAAGAATCATTTCATTTAAACACTTCACATGCACTTGATACTCATCAAGTATCAAAAGTCAAAGTTTGAGAAATTAGCTCTAAAATGATTCACAGGGAGTTCCCTCGAAGTCCTCTTGAGATCCTGAAAGTATGCAATAATGCATTGTATCTCAATTTCCAGGCCATACAGTATTCGTGTAAAGAAAAGAAATAGTTAATTTTGATTCCAAAATTCAAGTTTCCAAAGTATTTCAGTTCATAAGGAACCGACTTTCAAATGAGGTCTCAAGTGATAGGTGAACTCAAGTTCACCATGAAAATAGGTTTGAAATGCTCTAAGAGTTGTAAAAATGTAACCTAGGCCCTTAAAAGAACACTTAGGTTCAAATTGAAAATTTTCACTTTTCGAGTCATTCTTGGAAGTATCAGTCCAGAAGTTCGGAAAATCTAAAAATGGAAAATTTTACACCATCAAAAACTTCATTAGAAGCATAACAACTTTGTAGAAGGTCACTTTCCAAGAATCAAATCAGAATCAAGTCAATTTCTCCAAGAAAGTTTACTATTCATTGAAGATAGGTCAAAACAGTCCAAGTTTTTCCAATAACTTTGGAATGTTTGCCAAAATCATAGAATCAAAACCAGCCTTTCAAATTTGATATGCATGTAAATTTCCAATCCAGGTTTCAAATAAAATAAACAAAACTCAATTCCGATGTTCCTATCTCAAGAAATAAAAAGTTGAAGTTCGCTAAAATTCCTGGACTGTTGGCCTATTTTCCAAATTTAATGCCCTTCGCTAATTAGGCCGTATCTCACTCGATTCTCAGTGAAATTGAAAATGGTTGGTGGCTTTAGAAACTAGATTTACAAGGCTATATTTGTGTAGAAGAAGTCATTTCCAAAATCCAGATATAAGCGGTTCAAAATCAAGGAACAAAATGGATTTTCTGGCAGTCTCGGATGAACAGTAATAAACAGACAGCCAACTTTCAAAACTCGCCACGAATCGCTCGGGACGAACTAGAAAATGAGCTTGGTACCATTTTAAAGCTCTAGGAGTCTACGTTCAAATGCCACAAATGGCACTCAATTTCGATCAACGAACAAAACGTTATAGCTACACAAATGTTGCTGGTCAGAAAATTCTGGAGCCTGTTCCAGT